CCGAATGAAATGCAATCCGGTGGTTTAAGAAAAACACTAAAATAATATAATCAGTCGATTCAAAAGATTTGGTTTTCAAATGATTTCGAGATTTTTTTTTTTTTTTTTTTTTTTTTTTTTTTTTTTTTTTGTAGGATGATCTTTAAAAGAATACCTAAAAAATAGACAGTTCAGATTATGAAAATACAATATAAATAAGTCCCACAAATATCCCTCAAATAAGGTTATTTGAAAAATCCCTTAACTAAAAGCTCTCTTTATATACATACAATATTTTTTTTAAAAGTGTAGTCATGGATGATATCATCTATAATCAACATGTATATCTTTTCCATTTTGTATTTTTTTTTTGGGGTTAATCTTTTCCCTTTGTCTTTCAGTTCTGCAATTGACATGTAATTCCATGATGACGAGATCAAAGCATTATTCTTGTCATCCATATGCAGATGTCTCTCTTCATCATACACACAATTTAATAATTGTTTTTGTTTTGTTTTTTCATGCTGCGTTATTGAGATGAAATTAATGTCGAAAGAATATTGTTCAAACATATCATAATTCTGTTCTCATATGTCATATCCTGGAGTTAGCTAGATACGAGTCAATTCGTATTGGCCATGGACAAGGATATCCACACCCATAAACAAAGGTACGATCGATTACATATGTTCTGTCGATATGTGACCAATAATGCTTTCATATATTATCATCCTGAATTTTGAATTTGCAAGATAATTATCGTAGAGATTAATTTAGTATAATTTTTTTTAAAAGATAATTAAGGTACTATATTAATTTAGGACCACTTTTTGAAAAGAAAAAAAAATACAGGACCACCATTATTATTATTTTTATTTTAAATCTTTTTGGATGGCATAGGACAACCAATTAATTATCAAGTAAACCTTTCGGCATTACGAGCCGAGGATATATTTATTATCTGGACCATAGTTTAAAGAATATATTTAGTTGGTAAATCACATCTCTTCTGAAGAGCTTTCAAGTTAAATTATTTTATGAATAATAATGCAGTGTATGATTGTTTGTGATTTTCTTTCCAATCTAAAAAAGTTTGATAGGTGGAGAGACTAGTGTTGAATATTCTTTTCGCATAAACATTACTTATATCTGACCGTGTTTCAGTACCATACAATAATTTATGTACTTGATGTTCAAAATCCTTTCCACTAGATGATCGGGATCAAAAGAAATATGAAGCCCTAAGATCTTTTAAGTTTAGGGCTTCAACATACTTGCCATATTTTTTTGTTTTTGGAGCTTTAATCTGTCAGCAAAGTATCCCATACTACATTAATTATTGTCGTATTAAACAATAATATATAAGCACTAATTGACTAACAGAAGTTTTAATAATAATATGAAATTAAATATGAATTTTTATGTACAATAAACACGTCTCATTTTGTAATGCTACAATGTCAACTTCAACCTATTAAATTTGCAAGTTGAATACATCACATCAAATGAACACTATATGGATTTCAGGCATCCTGTAGAAAAAGACCTTATATGAGCAATTGTGGTCCTAATTAAACGCTAGGACCACTCTTAGTTTAAGCAACATCGAAGCCTTTTCGTATTTTGTACTGCATGCATGTGTTTATTTAAATTTTATTGCAGATCAAGATTTGGTTCTTGGATGAATATGTAAGAGTAGGTGAAACATTATTAGATTTTATTTCATTTGTGATTTTGTGATTTTGTTCTCTATCTATATATTGTTGTCAATTGTGAAGATCATAAGTCAACCGGGTCTAGCCCAGTGAAAAAAACATTGATTTGTAAACTAGAAGTCTTAAATTCAAACCTCTATGACATCTTGGTTGTGTATGTGTGAGAAATCCCCTCCTCTATAGTATATATACATATGTATCATAAGTGATAATGAATGTGATGCCAGACCAGTAGATTTGATCACGCTTTAAGTAGAATTTTTTTTTGTTTGAGTAATGAATTATACATAAAAGAAAACTCTCCATGTTATTTCATTGTACATCCGTGCATACATATACATATATATATATATATATTTCCCTTTTATTGAGAAATTCGTCAAATAATTTTATTTGAGGGACACCCTTTAGAGTGCCCTACGAAATTTTTTTCAACGATAAAAAACTTCTATTTTTTACATCTTCATTCATAGATCATCCTTGCAAAAATTCATGCAATTTGAAAATTATTAAGGCATCTAATTGAGACCAACAAAATCAATGAACACGGTGCTTCAAGAAAATACTTAAATTTCAATAATTAATTGAGTAGTTAAATGATATCGGATTCAAGTGATCTTTTGTAGAGATGATCTTTGAATGAATATCAATAAAATAGATAGTTTGGATTAGTGAAATACAATGCGGGGTGGGCCTACAAGGGTGTCCCTAAATGAAAGCTCTCTCTCTTATATATATACATATCGATATATGAATCAAAATTTCATCGATGTCAAGGAAATGTATCGATAACACATTGAGACATTTTATTAGAAACAATAATATTGGCACACTATCAATGTTATATTGATTAATCATAACTTTTCAATTTTTATGGGCAAAACAGAATTCTTCATACGAGATAATGGGATTCAAGCGACATAATGAGGATGGTTGGAACTGAAATGCAGTGAATTTTACACTATAACATCCTAAATCCCCTAGATCATTAAAAAAACAAACTCTAACCATATAGACTCTTACACAAGGATATTATACAATACATCAATAAATGATAGGTATATTGAGTTCTAAAGAAAAACTCTGTAGAGGGGGAAGGAGGAAGAAACATCAATGCCCCTTCTCCCCTCCGCTCTTGTCTTTTTCTTTGGGTTAGTGAATAAGGCCACTGGGGCATTTTGAATAAAAAGCCCCTTGTGGTGATTTCTTCTGCACCATGCTCAAATTGAAGTTCCTTATTACCTATTTTGAGCTATTTCCTCAATCAAATCCTTCTCCCAAAACCCACTCTCTAACAGTGCTCATGTTCTCTAAATTTGGTTATACATTGTATTTGACGGAGATTGATGCAAATCACCTAATTGTTCTTTGTTAGGGTTATTGTTTTGGTTTATTTGTTCACTCCTATGCGCATGTAGATCGCTGGAAACCAAGTTTTACCCAGATCTGTTATGGATTTTGTTCCCGCTTCAACATTTTATGCGATGGTAGGTGTGGCTGTGACGACGCTTCTTCATGTGGTGGTGGTGGGGTTCATTTATGCTCCTGGGATGCTTTAGGGTTTTGGCTATATTGAGTTTGTGGGATTTGTTTGAGATTATGCTTAATTGTGGTAATGTGAGCTAGTAGTTTTAGTGCGCTTTTTGGTATGATTTAGTTTTTTTAGCATGTTAGTTTGTTGTACTTTTGTGATTGGTACTTTAGATGTCATGGTGATGTCTTTGATTATATTGTTTAAGTTTATTTAATGAATTTTTTTTTTAAATAATAATTATAAGCAAGTTGAGGTTTATCTGTTAGCACGACCTTGTAAATCCCCATGATTCAAGATTGCGGACACAAAGGGGTTGAACTTAATACAAAGGTAACTCTTTAATTCTATAATTGAATTTCAAATTCAACATGTGCAAGTTTTTGTTTTTGTTTTTATTTTTGCCAAACTCATGCAATCTAATGGATATTTTGAAAAAAAAAAAGTCAGAAATATGGTTAGTAAAGTATATAGAACAAATTTTATTCTTAGCTTTCCCTTCTCTTGAATTAAATAAAAAATAAAAATCAGTGACATCCCTTTTTGTTTTTTTAGTACAAGAAATTGGGGAATGGGGGTTTTACACAAATATTAATTGGGTGTTTGGGAGTTTCTGTCCACATGGGTAAAGATGGGAGAGCTTAACCAACTAAACTATAACCCACTGACATCCCATTTTAAAAGTGCTTTACAAAGTAATTTCTTAATGTACCTCTAAGTATAATGTACGTCTAGATTATCTAAATAGACGAGTTGAGTTAAGATTACATATGAGTTAAAGTATTGAGTTTTCTGGAAAAATAAAGTAGAATATGTCTAGAATATTTTAGTCCCTTCTTTTCTTCTTTGTTTTTGTTCTCGGTTGATATGTATATCAAGCTGAGCCCAAAATGGCTTTTTGGCCCAATTTAATCCAACAGAATCGTGTCGGCCTTGGTGAACTGGTTTTACCAGGCCCGTAGATATTGTTAGGTTGTTTGGTCCCTTCGTTAACTATGAGCAAACAACAAAGTACAATTGTCGGTGGGTTGACTTGTGCTTCTCCATATCAGAATTTTCGATTATTATGATATCACCTACTCATTTGAAAAAAAATAAAAATTGGAAAAGTCAAGGCTATAGGGTACTACACACGAATGACATTGGGGTGTATGATTTGGAATCCAACGATAATCTATTCGATGTGTTGTTTTACTAGACAGTCTGACAACATAAAATGCTTAGGTTGCAACTATACATATCATGCAAGAATGAACTTAATGAATGGTCCACATTCATATATGATCCGACAAGAGAGCAACCAAGTTTGTGGTATGGTATGTGTTTGATGAAATGCTTCAATGTTATTTTCAACACAAAAAGAAAAATGCTTGATTATTTTTGTTGTTGTTGTTACTGGTTTAAATTCATGCGTCCTAAGAAGAAGGTGGCATCCTTTCTGGAAAAAAGGCAAAAGAATAGTTCCCTACACGGGCACCACTTATCTGCAAAGCGAGACAAAAGGCGGTAACATCTCACTCTGTTTTTCTTTCTCTTTCCAACTATGGAGACATATATTCTAATAAGAAAAATCTTCTGAAAATCTTTTGAAACTAAAGTTGTCTGGATTTTCAACATGCAGAAGGACCAATTATTTCTCTTCTTGAAATATATACACTTTGCTTAAGACTTGGCATGTTGGATTCAAGAAAAGTTGGCATTTAGCTTAGAGTTGTTAGTTTACCTTCTTTTTCTTTCTTATATTCTTAAATTGATACATTATAGTTTAGTTTGCCATGGACACAAGAAATCTTTATGAAGCCGGTCAGAGTTTACAAGCAAACGGTTCTTCAATTTGGACGGACAATGGAATGGAAGTTTTCTCAAGGACGTCTATGACTTCCAACCATGAAAATGATGAAGACGATCTCATGTGGGCCGCACTTGAAAGACTTCCCACATTCAATCGTTTAAAGAAAGGTTTACTCACTTCTTCACGTGGTGAGGCCAATGAGGTCGATGTACGTAAACTTGGATTCCAAGAAAGGCATAATTTGATTGAGAGGTTGGTGAGAGATGCTGAAACCGGGAACGAGAAGTTCTTAATGAGGCTCAGGGAGCGTCTCGATAGGTAATCAATGAAGAGTGATTAGCTGGTACCAGTTCTTTATATATATATATATATATTTGGTCAGTATTCAAAAGAATATCGAAACTATGTACCAGTTACTGTGGATTGATACCTATAACAACACAATCTTTTCGCTTCTATCAATTTGTATTAAGCCATTTTCCACCAATTCCCTCTAGAGTAACTCTTGTTTTCGAATCTGCGAAAGAAACTACATAATGAACCACATTATGTGGGAATGCTATTATTTGGATTTTTTTTTTTTTTTTTTTTTTTTTTTTTTTTTTTTGTATGTTGTTGGTGATTTAACTAGTTTTTTAACATCTTTCTTGGGATATTTGTCAGAGTTGGAGTGGAAGTTCCAACACTGGAAGTCAGATATGAGCATGTCAACATTGAGGCAGAAGCTCATGTAGGAAAAGGGCGTTGCCTTCGTTCTTTAACTTTTACATTATTTTTTGGAGGTAAACCTGCAATCAAATGAAATCAGTCAAGATTACTTCTTCTTGTTGTACTAATTAAACACTCATATCCTAATTTTTCCTGATTAACATTGTCCTCCTTTTATTTAATTTTTTTTTCAGGGTTTCTTGACCAGTCTCCACTTGCTTAAAAGTAGGAAGAAAAAATTGTCTATCCTTGGTGATCTTAGTGGAATCATTAGGCCTAGCAGGTGAGAATGCAGACTCTGACCCTAAACTTGAAATGACATTTTTAGCTTTTAACCCCAAATTTTGTTACTAATTTTTTGGTTGTTATGGTTTTGGGGCTGGTGTGAATTTTAAAGAATAACATTGCTTTTAGGTCCTCCAAGCTCTGGAAGGACCACACTGCTGTTGGCCCTCGCAGGGAAGCTTCCTCTCGATGTAAAGGTAAGGGTGGCTCTAGAGCTTTAGCTGTTCATGGATTTTCATCAATAGAAACCAGGCTCTGTGTTCAGCTAATTAGCTTCAGTAGAATTGATAAACATTTGAACTTGTCATACAGTTCTCTGGGAAGGTGACATACAATGGCCTTGACATGAATGAATCTGCACCCTGGAGAGCTGCTGCCTATATCAGTCAGCATGATATCCATAATCCTGAAATGACTGTAAGAGAAACCTTGGCCTTCTCTTCTAGATGCCAGGGGATCGGAGCCCGTCATGGTTAGTTTTAATTATGGTCTCATAGTTCATTTACCAGAATTCAGTCCAATTTTTTCTATTTCCAACTTTCAAGAATCATGAACAATTATTATATGGTCATCTGCAGAATGGTTGGCAGAATTGTCAAGGAGAGAGAAAGCACAAAATATTCAGCCTGATCCTGATATTGATGTCTTCATGAAGGTGGAAAACAGAAGCTAGATGAATCTGTTTTTTTGGGATTTTGGTTATGACTAGCTATGTGTCCATATTCATAGTAGCTAAAATGTATTTCAAGATATCTAGCATGAGTAAATCTTCAGTTTTTATAATCAGCCGATTAAAACTAATTTTTGGTGTTTCCAATGCTCCAGGCAGCATCTATAGAAGGGCAGAAATCAAGTGTTGTCACAGATTATGTTCTGAAGGTATATGACAATCTGTCTTCATTAATTGCTTTAAAAAACAATCCAATTTAAACAATTGATAAATAACTTTGCTCTCCACTTGCAGATTTTGGGACTAGACATATGTGCAGACACCATGGTTGGGGATGCAATGCTAAGGGGTATTTCGGGTGGTCAAAGAAAGCGCGTCACAACAGGTAAATCATCACACATTTTTATTTTTGAATAAAATGTATTTATCTGAATATCTCTGTCGATTGCATTGCAGGTGAGATGCTGGTTGGACCAGCAAAGGTTCTGTTCATGGATGAGATATCTACTGGTTTGGATAGCTCAACAACTTTTCAAATTGTGAACTCGCTAAGGCAATTCATTCGCATTCTCAATGGCACTGCTGTTATTGCTCTCCTCCAGCCACCACCAGAAACTTATGAACTTTTTGATGACATTATACTCCTCTCTGATGGTCAGATTGTGTATCAGGGGCCCCGTGAACATGTGCTAGAGTTTTTTGAGTCTTTAGGCTTCAAGTGTCCTGAAAGAAAAGGAGTGGCAGATTTCTTGCAAGAAGTAAGTGTAAACTCCACTTTATTTCCTTTGTTAGAAGCCTATAAATATGTTATTGATCCCTTAAATTTGTGTGCCCAACCCATATCCTTAATATAATCTTTTTGCATAATTGATTAATTTCTGTAGGTGACCTCAGAGAAAGATCAGGAGCAATATTGGGCTAATAGGGATGAGACTTACAGATTTGTCACAGTCAAGGAATTTTCGGATGCATTCCAGTCATTCCATGTGGGAAAGAGGATTAATGAGGAGCTTGCTATTCCATATGACAAGAGCAAACAGAGTGCAGACATTTTGGCACCCCAAAAATATGGCGTTGGAAAGAAAGACCTCTTCAAAGCCTGCATGTCAAGAGAATACTTGCTAATGAAGAGGAACTCATTTGTCTACGTATTCAAGTTTGCTCAAGTGGGTGATAAATCTATTTTAGTATTTAGTTGAACTATATACAATACATTGTCATGCATCTATAATTCCTTAATCTTCTTTGTTCTAACAGCTTATAGTAATGGCAATAATCACAATGACACTCTTCCTGCGGACAAAGATGCACCGAGATTCAATAACTGACGGAGGCATTTTCTCTGGTGCCTTATTTTTCGGTTTGATAATGGTCATGTTTAACGGAATGGCAGAGCTCAGTTTGACCATTTCCAAACTTCCTGTTTTTTACAAGCAAAGGGACCTCATGTTCTTCCCTGCCTGGGCATATGCTCTTCCTGGATGGTTCCTCAAGATCCCGATCTCATTTGTAGAAGTTGCAATTTGGGTTTTCGTCACCTACTATGTCATTGGTTTCGATCCAAATGTGAATAGGTAATTATATATACCTGGATTTGTAGATGTGTAGGAAACATTTGTTCACATTTTTTTTCACTTTCTGTTCTGTTAATCTATGCATGTGCAGGTTGTTTAGACAATACCTTATATTCGTACTAGTTCATCAAATGGCTTCTGGATTATTTCGACTTCTTGCAGCGCTTGGTAGGAATATGATTGTTGCTAGCACATTTGGGTCATTTGCACTACTGGTACTTTTTGTGAATGGTGGCTTTGTTCTGTCACGAGGTATGATTTGAGTTTGACATCAAACTAAACTTACCTCACAAGAAAGTCCCCATAAACCTTCTTTCTTTCACTTTTCTTTGTTGCAGTGGATATAAAAAAATGGTGGAAATGGGCTTACTGGATATCGCCACTGATGTACGGGCAGAACGCAGTAGCAGTAAACGAGTTCCTCGGGCACAGCTGGAAGCATGTAAGCTATTGGTTTAGCCATGTAAAACAATATTTCTGTGATTGTCTTGTAATCTCTCTAACGCCTGAACTTCTTCCATCTGAAAGGTTCTTCCAAATACAGCACAACCATTGGGAATTGTATTTTTGAAGTCTAGAGGATTCTTTCCACACGAATACTGGTATTGGATAGGAGTTGGGGCGCTCATAGGATTTATGCTACTATTCAACTTGGCTTATGTTTTTGCCCTCACTTACCTCGACTGTGGGTACCTTCCCTTGAATTCATAACTTGAAAAGTGAGAGCCTATGTGTTAACATTGTTCAAATAATTTTGCAGCTTATGACAAGGCTCAGGCTAGTCAATCAGAAGAGTCTCAAACAATGAACAAGATGCAACAGCTGAAAATGCAGGTGACAATGCTTGAAAGTTAGCCATGTCATTGAGAAGTTTATGACGTTATAAATTCATCCTTTCATAAGCTAAATACATTTAACTGATATGCAGGGGACAAGGCTGGGACCGAGATCAATTCAAATAAGAAAAAAGGAATGACTCTTCCCTTTCAACAGCAATCACTCACTTTTGATGACATTGTGTACTCTGTTGATATGCCTCAGGTAACTAACAACGCTAAACTTTTAGGATTCAAGTTGTTTGTTGTCTTGGCTTTTTTACAACAGCACAGTCATGTTAAATGAAACATACTATTTTAATTCAACTTGCAGGAAATGAAGAATCAAGGTGTCAGTGAGGATAAGTTGGTGCTCCTAAAGGGTGTGAGTGGTGCTTTCAGGCCTGGCGTCCTCACAGCTCTGATGGGTGTTAGTGGTGCTGGTAAAACCACTTTGATGGACGTTCTAGCTGGTAGGAAAACTGGGGGTTATATTCAGGGTGAGATCAAAATTTCTGGATACCCCAAAAAACAAGAAACATTTGCTCGAATTTCAGGGTATTGTGAACAAAATGATATCCATTCTCCTTATGTTACTGTCTATGAGTCTTTGCTTTTTTCTGCTTGGCTCCGCCTACCACCTGAAGTCAATTCTTCAACAAGAAAGGTTGATGCCTCAAACCCTCTTTTATCTGGATAATGAAGGATAGCTTCATAACTCAACTAGGACCTTAAGTATTCATCAGCTATAGCAATTCTAAATGCTAAGTAATTGCAGATGTTTGTGGAAGAAGTGATGGAGCTTGTGGAACTAAAGCCTTTGAGGCAAGCGCTTGTTGGATTGCCGGGTGTGAATGGTCTCTCCACTGAGCAACGGAAGAGGCTCACAATTGCTGTTGAACTAGTGGCAAACCCCTCCATAATATTCATGGATGAGCCAACTTCGGGGCTGGATGCCAGAGCTGCTGCAATTGTCATGAGAACAGTTAGGAACACTGTGGACACTGGAAGAACAGTTGTTTGCACAATTCATCAGCCAAGCATTGACATATTTGAAGCTTTTGATGAGGTGAGAAATTTTGGAATATCATTAAAGTTACATATTCCCATGGTTTACTTTTTTATCTAACAGTAATACAATGAACATGAGGTTCCAGCTATTGTTGATGAAGCGTGGAGGGGAAGAGATCTATGTAGGGCCTTTAGGTTACCATTCTTGTGATTTGGTCAAGTATTTTGAGGTATGTCTTAATGATAAATATGCAATGGAACAATAAGTTTTAGTGTTAATCCACATGCTTTTAGTGACATGGAAGTTACAATTCATATAGGACGTCCAAGGAGTCCGTAAAATTATAGATGGTTACAACCCTGCAACTTGGATGTTGGAAGTTAGCTCTTCAGCACAAGAAAAGGCTTTAGGGGTTGATTTTTCCAAAGTGTACAAAAATTCTGAACTGTATCGGTAGGTACTTTTGTAAATGCACGACTGACAGCAGTGCAAGGCTGTAAAACACATCTAATTATTTGGAATTTTGTATTCATCCAGCCTCGTCAGGGTAATAACGATTACATAGTTAGAATATGATATGAAGTTGTACAATTGTTTGGCTTGTGTTTCAGGAGAAACAAAGAACTTATTAGACAACTAAGCATACCTCCTCCTGATTCCAGAGACCTCCATTTCCCATCTAGATACTCTCAGTCATTCTTTTCTCAGTACATGGCATGCTTTTGGAAACAAAGATTGTCCTATTGGCGCAATCCACCGTATACTGCTGTAAGATTTTTGTTCACAACTATCATAGCCCTCATGTTTGGCACAATGTTCTGGGACCTTGGCTCCAAAACGTAAGCTACATCGACTGATTCTTGAATGAAAGTTCAACCTATCGTAATTTCTATCTACATATAAACACATTATTATAAAAATTGTAGGAAAAATCAGCAGGACCTGTTTAATGCAATGGGTTGTATGTATTGTGCTGTTCAATTCATTGGAGTCCAAAATGCTAGTAGTGTGCAACCAGTAGTTTCAGTTGAACGAACTGTCTTCTACAGAGAAAAAGCGGCTGGAATGTATTCACCCTTAGCATATGCCTTGTCGCAGGTAATCAATTTACACAACTGTCACACTTTATCTCATAATGAGCCAATATGCACATATGTTTCTATAAGCAACGTCCATGTTTTCTGCAGATTATAATTGAGCTTCCATACATTTTTGCACAAACTGTGGCATATGCTGTCATAGTGTATTCAATGATGGGACATGAGTGGACCGCTGCTAAATTCTTTTGGTACCTATACTTCATGTACTTCTCATTGTTATATTTCACATTTTATGGGATGATGGCTGTGGCCGTGACACCAAATTACCACATAGCTACTATAATTTCCTCTGCATTTTACGGAGTGTGGAACCTGTTTTCAGGATTTGTTGTCCCACGAACTGTAAGTACTGCCTTCATATAACTAGTTCCTCTTAAATGCCACATTTGTTTCGAGCATAGCTCAATGCTAATGAAACTGTGCCTGGCTAATGACAGCGAATTCCTGTGTGGTGGATGTGGTATTATTGGATATGTCCAGTTGCTTGGACCTTGTATGGACTGGTTGCATCACAATATGGAGATATAGACGACGTGCTTGACAATGGTGAAACAGTTAAACAGTTTTTGAAAGATTATTTTGGCTTCAAACATGATTTTCTAGGAGTAGTGGCAGGTGTTGTTGCTGCATTTGTGGTTCTCTTTGGATTAATTTTTGCCATTTCCATTAAGGTTTTCAATTTCCAAAAGCGGTAGAAAGTGGGTTTCCATATTTACATTGGATGTTACAGGTTATAACCATCACTGCACTGATAGATAGATGAAAGTTATTATCAGTCTGTCAATTTACATAGGATTTGTAGTATGTATACAATCGTAGGTAGATGAAAGTTCTTATCAATGTATCTTTATTCATTAGTAGAAATCATTTCTAGCTAAGAGCGCCCCCATCGGAGTTGTCAAATTCTCTTTTTTATGGCCTATATGGACTGGAAACCAAAATTTCATATCTCCATGCCTCTTATCTCCCCATTCAATATGTAAAATTTATTTTCTTGCACAAGCAAATCAAAAGAACATGTGGAATCCATTTTGACTAGGTTTGAGATGATTTCAACCTTTGGTGCACACAAAAGAAAACCCCCAAACATACTAACAAAAATGTAAAAACTTTATAAAATTTTGGCCAAGAATTTGAGACATAATTATCCAATATTGGGCATACCAATCAAATTTCACTTTTATACATATGGCTTAAGCAAAGCTGCAAAACTCAGTGCAAAAATCCTAACCCTTACAAGTACTTACCAAAGCATGCTTTGTGTACTGAGACATTGGTTGCCATTGCTTTTCTTGGTTTGGCCTGATTTCTGCATAAGTTTTCTATATTTCAGGGGTTGCTGAAAATTAAGAAACCTTAAACCATAGCATGGTACATAGTTCCTGCAATGACTTGCTACGTTTCTTGTTTGACAAGGAATTACAATGACTCAATAGGTTTATTGTTTTAGCAGTCTAAATTTGTCATTTACAAATTACGAAAAGAAACGTCTATCGAGTTTGGAAATTAAACGCCCTAATAGAGAAGGCAAAGATGAATCCAAAGAGCACTGTAATCCCAACATGTACCGTTGCAACCACTCCCACAAAATCATGCTTGAAACCAAAGTAATCACCCAAAAATTGTTTGACAGTTTCACCATTGTCGAGCACGTGGTTCAGATCGCCAAACTGTGATGCAACCAATCCATACAACGTCCAAGCCACAGGACATGCCCAGTAATACCATCTCCACCATATAGGAATCCTCTGTTCTTGGCCAGGTAGTAAAATAAAATTGACAAAAGGAACAATTAGTAATTTGGGCATGTATATGCTGAAAACTTATTCTAATCCAGAACACTAATTAAGCAACACTTACCGGTCGTGGGACAATGAATCCTGAAAAGAGGTTCCACATTGCATAAAATGCAGAGGAAACAATAGAAGCAATGTGTTGGTTTGGTGTCACAGCCACAGTCATCATGCCATAAAGTGTGAAGTACAACAATGTGAAGTACATAAAGAATAGATACCAGAAGAATTTGACCAGAGTCATCTCAAATCCGATCAACGTATAAATTATGACTCCATAGACCACACTTTGTACTAAAATATATGGAAGCTCAATCAAAACCTGTGACAAGAAAGAAGTTGAATAATACATGTGTATATATATATATAGAGAGAGAGAGAGAGAGAGAGAGAGAGAGAGAGAGAATTAAATTCGGTGATTGAAACAGTTGACAATCTAAGAATCATTTCACCTGTGCAAATGCATATGGCAAGGCTGAATACATCCCTGCCGCCTTTTCTCTATAGAAGACAGTTCTTTCAACAGCAACTACAGGCTGCACAGATGTAGCGTTTTGGACCCCAAGGAAGAGAACAGCAGTATACATAGATCCCATTGCATTGAACAGATCTTGTTGCCTTTTCCTGTATCTCATAATACACAGTAAATTTCAATACAGGAAAAGTGAAAAATAAAATAATAATAATCCTGATGAATTTCACCAACTCAATTTTTTGTTTCCATGTCCTTACTTACGTTTTGGAGCCGAGCTTCCAGAAAATCGTCCCAAACATCAATGCTATGACAATTGTGAAGAGAAATTTTACAGCTGTGTATAATGGATTGCGCCAATATGACCAATGTTGTTTCCATAAGCAAGCAAGGGTTTGGATGAGAAACGATTGCGCGTATTGAGTAGGGAAATAGAGGTCCTTTGAAGTAGGAGCAGGTGTGCTAAAGTCTTTAATAAGTTGCTTGTTTCTCCTGAACCATATTATGCCAGGCAAAGATTTCAGCTACTGATTTAAAATAAATAAACATGGGAAGGGATGTTCCAGCATTTTTTCCTTTATAGGTGGTAAGCTATCTTACAATGTAGCAGTGACATATCAAGTAACAGACCTGTATAGCTCTGAAGTTTTGTAAACTTGGGCAAAATCAATCTTCAAATCTAATTCCTGTGCTGATGTTGTAACTTCCAACATCCAAGTTGCTGGATTATAACCGTCTTTTATTTTACTTACTCCTTTGATTCCCTTGATTCAAAAAAAATAATGTTAATTCACAGCAAACCATGTATAATATAGTGAAGGAAGAATAAAAAAACATTCAATGTTGGATATATTTATGGAAATAGGATCCTCTACTTGTATTTTTGGTTCTTATATATAGTTCTTATTTTTAAAACTATGTTTTTAGTTACTTTTCAATATAAATCCGAAACGACATAGTTTTAGACATAAACACGATCTAAGCACGAAAAAGACAAGTAGTCCCAAATCCATCTTGATATGTGGTCCATAACATCCTACCTCAAAATACTTAATTAGATGGCAAGAGTGACGACCCAATGGCCCTACATATATTTCTTGTCCTCCACGCTTCAGTAGGAGTAGCTGCAATCACATTCTTATTCGTCATGCATATTTATATGAGAAAGAACCTAAAAGAACCACTAGATTCCAATCTATTAACATTTCTCACCTCATCAAAAGCTTCAAATATGTCAATGCTGGGCTGGTGGATGGTGCAAACAACTGTTCTGCCAGTATCCACTGTGTTCCTAACTGTTCTCATGACAATTGCAGCAGCTCTTGCATCCAACCCTGAAGTTGGCTCATCCATGAATATTATCGAGGGGTTCGCTACTAGCTCAACGGCAATGGTTAGCCTTTTGCGCTGCTCAGTTGAGAGGCCATTCACTCCAGGCAGCCCAACAAGTGCTTGCCTCAATGAGGTGAGTTCCACAAGTTCCATCACTTCCTCAATGAACATCTTTAGAAGAATTTCAGAATTAGAAATTAAAATCACGATAGCCAAGTAAATGTGCAAGCCACTTATGATCAAGTTGCATACTTTCTTTAAAAGGCTTCTTTCCATTGATATAAAAAATCAAGAAAAGGCCATTTGTGATTTTCTCCTATTAGGCCTACTTTTGTATCATGTCCGCCCTAGACATAGCAAGTTTTTTGAATCACATAAAGTTGTGTTTGCTTTTTTATATTTGCTATATTTGCTTTTTTTCATATTTCTTTGTTAGATTTACTAAATGATTTGCACAGTTCTTTTTACATACCTTGGCATGTGATTACCAGAAATTTAATGTTAGGAAAAATGAATAAGGTGAATTTGACAACCCAATTTTGACTTGTTTGGGATTGTTCACAAATCATAAACCCTGAAACAGATTCTGGTTTTAGATATTATCATACTAACCTTTCTGGTTTCGGACTTGACTTCTGGTGGCAAACGAAGCCATGCCGAGTAGATCAAAGACTCATGGACAGTTACATGAGGGGAATGGATGTCATTTTGCTCACAGTACCCAGAAATCCGGGCAAAGGTTTCCTGCTTCTTTGGGTAGCCCGAAATTTTGACGTCCCCTTCAATATATCCACCAGTTTTCCTACCCGCCAGTACATCCATGAGAGTGGTTTTACCAGCACCACTTACTCCCATCAAAGCTGTTAAAACACCTGGCCTGAAAGCACCACTCACACCCTTCAGAAGCACTAATTTGTCCTCCATGACACCTTGGATCTTCATTTCCTGCAGGTTCATACTTTGTTGGATGTAGTCGTTTTGGAAGTAACCTAACAAAACAAACTAAAACAGGGTACTTGATTTCGGAATGAAACTTTTGGAATTGTACTCATTTTTGGTTTGAAGTTACCTGTGGCATGTCAACTGAGTAAATAATTTCATCGAAGGTGATGGAATGGGGTTCAAATGGAAGAACCATCCCTCTTTTCGTGTTATGATTAGTCTGGAGAGAAACTTCTGTCCTATTTTGACCCTTACTCTCTGCATGCCAATTAAAATTAGTTGTCACCTAAGGGCAGTAACATAAGACAACCTTGGAAGGTGCTCAGGTGCACATTATGGATGAGATTTAGCACCTGTCTTGGAACGTTCACTTGAGCTATTTTGATTGCGTGGTAATATGCCCGTTCTCTCGGTTCTGCCATCATTTTCATTGCTTTGGGAATCTTCTGATTTAACAGCCTGAGGCCTCCCCAGTGCTGCATAATAAGTTTTTGGTACATTAGTAGATAATCTCAATTTGTAAAATGATTAAGTGGATGGATAAGGTAGATATACCCACGGTTTAGGTAGGAGAGAGCCACAATGTAGCAACTGTTGAATAGTAAAACAAATCCAGCCATTGCCCCAACACCTATCCAATACCAGTATGCATATGGAAAGAACCCACGAGACTTTAAAACTTCAACTCCTAGAGGCACTGTCGAGTTTGGGAGTACCTTTTATAGGAAAGTAAATTCAGACATCAGATGAGTTTGAAGAAAGAAACACAAAATTATATAAATGATTTTGAAGTAACAAATACAAGATGATTTTCAATAAATTACATGTCTCCAATTCTTCCCAAGGAATTCATTAACTACTACTGCATTCTGACTGTACATCATAGGCGAAATCCAGTAACCCCAAATCCACCACTTTCTAATATTATCTGTGAAATTAAGGAATGCAAGAAGCATCATATTAGCTGCAATGAAATTATGAGAAGAAATTCTTTCCCATGAATAACTTATGTCTTAACATTGCTGGTACCTCTAGAAAGCACGAAGCCACCCAATGTAAACAATATGAGCAATGCGAATGAACCCAAGGTGTTAGCAAGAACCAAGTTCCTACACGCTGCTGCAATTAAACGGAATAATGCAGAAGCCATCTGGCTAACAAGTATCAGCAGTAGATATTGCCTAAGCAACCTGCAGCATGCGCAAAAAACCATGCATCAAGGAT